TTCCAGTTCGTGCGTAATTACGCATCGATGAAAAACCGGAGGTTTAAAAAAAGATAATTAGCTCACTGATAGTTTGATGTAAAGGCTGTGGAAATATCCACAAGTCGTGGTCTTTAAAATGCATTTGGTTTGACGGCGTTCTGTGCTTCCATTGCGAAGATATGGACAAAAGAATATTCGTGCATGGTCAAAAAATGTCATAAAATCGAAAAAGTAAAGGCTGAGAAAGCATCCACAATGTATTTTATACACAAAACAAGCATTCTCGCAACTCTAAGAGGTTTCGTGAAAGCGCTACAGGCGTGCCAAAATCGTTTTCGAACTTCGAGCTAACTTTACCCCGGTCGTGATTTTGGGACAATGCCAATGTTATAAGCACAGAAATGCATAGAAATGTGCGCTACGCACGCTGGCAATCGTGTGAGCACAGGAAAGTGTGATAGGTAACAGAAAAATGTTTAAGAATTGTTCTAGGTTACTTTGAGAAAAATACACCGAGCGTCTCTGTGTTTCGCTCCCATGCGCATGAAATCAAAAGTTCTTTTTACTTCTGAGACAGACTCCTGAAACGGAAACGGGGAAAAATACAAGCTTGCGGATTGCTAAAGCAGGTAAGCCCCACACTATTTTTGAAGAACCTTGTTTACCGTTGGCAAAAGAGCTGACACGTATTGTCTGTGGAGAAAAAAAGCTGCTAAACAGCTCGACCTGCTGCCCCCTCTGAAAGACAGTCACTCCTAGAATTATTGATATGGCGGATGATATTAAAAGTACGTTGAAAGAGCGCGTTAAGATGAGCAGATGTTTTTCACTGCAATTAGATGAGTCTGTAGTCGATTTTGCCAATTTGCTCGTTTACGTTAGATACGAGTTTGAGGGTACGTCACATGAGGACAGCTTCTGAATGAATTTATAGAAGAGAATGGCATCAACTGGAAAAAATGCGTTGGAGTTTGCACAGACGGTGCTGGGGCGATGACAAGCCGACACAGCGGTGTAGTTGCACGAATTAGAGAGGTTGCTCCAGAAATGAATGGACGCATTGCAACATCCACCGCGGGACCTTTGCCGTCAAGTAAATGCCTGACGATTTAAAATCTGTTAGACTCTGTTGTGAATTGTATCAAGGCTCGGATAATGAATTCACATCTGCTTTGCTCAACTAAACAGGCTCACCCCTCTCACTTAAATGGTGCTTTTTTATTGTTTATTTTTAATTGTTGTTGTTCCTGTTTTTATTCTGTAAAGCGCTTCGAGAAGCCCCCTTTAAAGGTCCTATATCAAATAAAGTTTATTATTATTGTATTTATTATATGTGTGCGCGCACGCTCATGTTAGTCATTGAGATTGGCTGGGGTTCCTATGAGATGACTTGTAGGTGGTACTTGGATGCTTTGGTTTGTTCAGGGGTGATACTTGGTCCAAAACGTTTGAGAACCACTGATATAGGAAGTTAACAATATGAGTTTTACATTAAACTCAAACGGCAGCGGCAGTGACATTTATAAAATTGTTCAGAGCACAACTAAACACCCGCAAGTTCTCGAATAGAGTATTTAATGGTGATTGTAGTATTCAGTCTTGTGTAAAGGACAGGTCTGGCCCGAAGGTGAATTAGGGCTCCCTAGAGCCCCGTGGCCACCAGGGGGCCCCCTCATTGTGCAACACAACAATTTGTGGTAATCGGCACTTTCCAATGTAAGTCAAAAACACCCTCCGGTGGGCCTTCCTGTTGCTGCTGTGCTAACCTCAGCTGTTAAAGTTTGTTATTAATTATAATACTATTAAAGTACGTGTAGTTTGTGTCACTGTCCATGTAGTAAATGAGTTTCATCTTCGCCGTTAGATGACAATATCATTGCGGTCGCCGCCGCCGCTACACCAAATGCTCTTCGTTTAATTTCGGAAAGTAGTAGCTGTTCTAATTTTCCCTTTTATTCATCTTTGATTACATCCAACATGTAATGAAACGTTGAAAGTGAACTTTTACTTGCATTTGCAGACTACACTACAGTGGATTAACATTAAAATCATGCAGTTGCAATTGGTAACAGATATACGTTTCACAAGTTATTTCTTTCAAACGTTATCTTTGTAAAATGTGTGCTTCTTGTTCTTCTTTGTAAGTTATTTCTGTTGTGTGTTTTTTTTTAAATCTGGTTAATAAAAGTTTTTTAGTTAGATAACAAATTGATGTAATTGCGCTAAATATTCAACTATGTTCGGGATGGGAGATTAGAAGTGTAGGGGAAAATAGTGACATGAAGGAGCCCCTTTTCAAGATCTTGCAGAAATCTGGGGCCAGTCCTGATAAAGATGTACAATTAAATAAGCCCTGAACTACAGTTTGAATTAGTTTTAGCCTTAGACAACCTTTAACGTCGTTTTGCCTTATTTCTTTAATGATGGATTTGAAAATAATTATGTGTATCTTTGTTATACACACATATTACAGGTACAGTTTGTTTTGTACCCTTCGTGGTCATTTGTCCGAAGGACGTGAAAAATATGGAATTCAAAATAAACCCCAAATGCAACTCTTTCAAACTTAATTAAATGATTTAAATTACTTCTACACAACATGACAGCTCAAATATTTGTGGTAATTGTAATATTTACCCATGTGCAAACCCTACTTTGTCAATAAGCCTTGGGGGTAAAGAGATAAGAGTTGGGGGTAAAGGTTCCCCTTGAATTAGTCATCCATTCACTTAACTGCTATATTTCCATGTCTTTAAAGAAAATTTCATTCTCGTCATTTCTTATACAGTATATACTGTAGATGTATATTACAGCTACAGTTTATATACCCTTCAAATGCAATTTCTCCAAATGACAAAGGTATAATTTTCAAGCTAAACTCCCACTACAAGAGAAATATTCTTTCAATTATTTAAAGCACTACTGCAACCCCAGAAGAAGAAATATTTATTACAGGTACAGTTCGTTCCGTACCCTTCGTGGTAATTTGTCCAAAGGACGTGAAAAATGACAAATGAAAATGAAAAATGGCCTTTGGAGTCCTCCATTATGTGCTTCACAGAGACTTGGTTGAATGAACTGGTTCCCGAGGCTAACGCTTCACTAGGGGGTTTTCAGATGGTGCGTGCGGATCGGAAAATCAAGGAGAGCAGTAAAAAGAGAGGAGGAGGGCTAGGAGTGTTTGTGAGTAACAGATGGTGTAACTGTAATCATATTACTGTAAAAGAACAGCTCTGCACCCCGGACATTGAGCTACTAGCAGTTAGCCTGCGGCCATATTACCTGCCTAGGGAGCTCTCGCGTGCTATTGTTGTGCTGGTGTATGTCCCGCCCTCTGCCGACGCAGCCTCAGCGTGTGGCGTCATACACACTGTTACAGCCGGACTACAGACTGTCACCCACAAGCCATGTTCTTGATAACTGGTGATTTTAATCATGGTTCGCTCTCCTCTACTCTGCCTGCTTTTAGTCAGTTTGTTAAATGCCCTACTAGAGATAATAAGACTTTGCACTTGCTGTATGCTAATGTCAAGAATGCCTACAGCTCCTCATCACTCCCCCCCTTGGCAGATCTGACCACAACCTTTTTTATCTCCTATCTCTGTACAAGCCTCTTGTCCTACAGCAACCAGTGATCACCAGGACAGTGAGGAGATGGTCAGCTGAGGCTAATGATGCACCGATGGACTGTTTTGAACAATGGACTGGGAGATACTCTGTGAGCCTTATGGAGATGACATTGATGGTCTTACCCACTGCATCACTGACTACATAAACTTCTGTGTTGACAGTGCAGTGCCCACCAGGAAAGTGCGCTGCTTCTCCAATAATAAACCCTGGGTCACCAGTGATCTGAAGGCCATCCTAAATAGGAAAAAGAGGGCTTTT